AGGAAGCGAAGACCAAAATGGATGTCAGAAGAGACTCTGAAAATTGCACTGCAGTGCAGAGAAGTCAAAGCACAAGGAAGAATTCAAGATACTAAAGAGTTGAATAGAAGATTTCAAAAGGCAGCACGGGATGACAAAGCAAAATATTACAATGAAATGTGCAAGGAGTTGGAGTCAGAAAATCAAAAGGGCTGAACCCGCTCAGCATATCTTAAGCTCAAGGAACTGAAGAACAAATTCAAACCTCGAGTTGCTATAATCAAGGATGCTTTCGGCAGAATGTTCAATGATCCCGGAAGTATTAAAAGAAGATGGAAAGAATATACTGAGTCACTGTATCGAAAGGAATTGGAAGACACAGAAGAATTTCATGAAACAACATATGAGCAAGAGCCTATGGTGATGAAAGAAGAAGTTCAGGCTGCTTTGAAGAAAATGGCAAAAAATAAGGCTCCAGGAATAGATGGTATACCAATTGACATATTTCAGCTAACAGATGCTGCCCTGGACGTGCTCATCAAGTTGTGCCAAGGAATCTGGAGAACGACCATTTGGCCAACTGACTGGAAGAGATCTATATTTGTTCCTATCCCAAAGAAAGGTAACCCAACAGAATGTGGAAACTACAGAACAATCTCACTGATTTCACATGCAACCAAGATTTTACTGAAGATTATCCAAAAATGACTGGAAAAGCACATCAGCAGAGAACTGCCAGAAGTCCAGGCTGGATTTAGAAGGGGTCATGGTACTAGGGATATTGTAGCTGATGTTAGATGGATCTTAGCTGAAAGCAGGGAATACCAGAGCAATGTATACCTGTGTTTCATTGACTATGCAAAGGCATTTGACTGTGTGGATCATAACAAACTGTGGCTGACTCTGAGAAGAATGGGAATCCCAGAACACTTGATCGTTCTAATGCGAAACCTATACTTGGACCAGGAGGCAGTCGTCAGAGCAGAGCAAGGGAACACTGCATGGTTCAAAATTGGGAAGGGCGTACACCAGGAATACATCCTATCTCCATACCTTTTCAACCTATATGCAGAACAGATTATCCGGGAGGCTGGGCTCTATGAGGAGAAATATGGGGTCAAGATTGGTGGATGATATAGGTTCATGCTAGGCTGCTCCTTGGAGGCAAGGATTCTGAAGCTTCTTAAACATAATTTGGACATGTTGCAAGGAGGGACCAGTCCTTGGAGAAGGACATCATGCTTAGGAGTGTGGAGTGACAACGCAGGAGAGGAAGACCCTCTATGAGGTGAATTGATTCAGTGACTTGGGTAATGGCGGTAAGTGTGTCCGAGACAGTGAGATTGGCACAGGATAGAGCAGGATTTACAGCTGTTGTACGTAGGGTTAGTAAGAGTCACAGGTGACTCAACAGCACATAACAACAACATCAAAAACATTTAAATCTTGTAATTAGCTATTGTGATGGGTATTGTTTTTCTTAGCTCTAGTTCTGTATTCTCTTTCTTATTGTAGAGAAATCAAATTGTTTTTTGTATGTTGATCTTGTATCCTGTCACTTTGCTGATTTGGTTGACTATGTCCGGTAGTTTTATTTCTGAGTCTGTAGGGTTTTCTAAGTATATTGTCATTATCATATCACCTGCATATAGAGATAATTTTACATACTCTTTGCCAATTTGGATACCTCTTATTTCCTTTTTTTGTTTTGTCTTATTGCTATCACTAAGACTTCCAATACAATATTGAATAGGAGAGGTGATAGTAGTCATCCTTGCCTAGATCCTGTTCTCAAAGGGAATGTATTTAATTTCTCTCCACTGAGAACAATGTTGGCTCTCAGGTTGGTGTATATACTTATTTACTATACTGAAGAAACTCCCCTCTATTCCTACATTGTTGAGTGTTTTAATCAGGAAAGGGTGTTATATTTTGTCAAAGGCATTTTCTGCATCAACTGATAGAATCATGTGGTTCTTATTCTTTTCTTAGTTTACATGATGAATTAATTATTTTTCTTATGTTGAACCATCCTTGCATACCTGTTATGAATCCCACTTGGTCATGGTGAATTATTTTTTTGATATATTGTTTGATTCTATTGGCAGGGTTTTTATTCAGGATTTTTGCATCTATGTATATAAGAGATATTGGCCTATAGTTTTCTATTTTGGTGGTGTCTTTTCCTGGCTTTGGTGTCAAGGATATGTTTGCTTCATAGAATTAGTCAGAGAGATTTTCATATTTTTCTGTTTCTGAAGTAGTTTATGTAGAATTGGTGACCAGTCTCTGAATGTTTGATAAAATTCACTTGTAAAACCATCTGCTCCAGGACTTATTTTGGCTGGAAGGTGTTTTATTTCCCTTTCAATTTCTTCTTCTGATGTTCAATTTTGGTTTGTGTCAGTTTAATTAGGTTGTGCATTTCTAAGTATTTGTCCATTTCCTCTAGGATTTCATATTTATTTGAGTATAGCTTTGCATAATAATCCATTGTTTTTATTTTAGTTGGTTCTGTTCTAACATTGCCCATTTCATCTCATATTCAGATTATTTGTGTCTTTTTGTTAGTTTTGTTTGTAGTTTGTCAATTTTATTGACCTTTTCTATCAAAGAACCAACTCCTAGTTTTGTTGATGGTTTCAATTGTTTTTATGTTTTCTTTTTAATTTATTTCTTCCCTAATTTTGATATTTTTGGTTGTTTTAGATGGTGTCAGTTCTTCTTGCTGTTGTTTTTCAATTTGTTGGAGATGTTAGGTTGGAGCATCAATGATCATTTTTTTTTCATGCCTTTTGAGGTGTTTGTTTGTTGCTATAAACTGACCTCTGATTAGTGCTTTGGCTGTTTCCAGAGGTTTTGGTAAGTTGTGTTTTCATTGTAATTTTTTTCATTAAATTTTTAATGTCACTTTTTAAAACTTTCTTCTAGCACCCATATTTTGCTTGGCTCTGTAGTCAACAGTCTTGGCACCAGCAGCCAGGAAATTAAAAGGCACATTGCCATGGGAAATTCTGCTGTTAGGGACCTCTCCAAAGTACTGAAGAGCAATGGTGACTCTCTGGAAACGAAGGTGAGTTTGATACAGGCTATGGTCTTTGCAATCACTTGTTATGCATCAGAAAGTTGGACAATGACCAAGGAGGATAGAAGGAGAATTGATGCCTTTGAGCTGTGGTGCTGGAGAAGAGTATTGAGAATACCATGGACTGCTAGGAAAACAAACAGATTTGTCCTGGAAAGGGTTAAACTGGGTGACTCCTTGGAGGCAAGGATTCTGAGGCACCATCTAACATACTTTGGACATGTTGTGTCCTTGGAGAGGGACATCATGCTTGGGAGGGTGGAGGGACGGCGCAGGAGAGGAAGGCCCTCTATGAGGTGGATTGATTTGGTGACTGGGATAATTGGGATGGGAGTGTCAGAGACAGTGTGATTGGCACAGGACAGAGCGGAGTTTAGGGCTGTTGTACAAAGGGTCGCTATGAGTCATAAGCGACTCAACGGCACATAACAACAACAACAACAACAACAACCCATCTTCAACTCTGTTCATGTGTCCCTCCATCATTTTGACAGCATCTGAAACATTGGTCCTCATATTTTGGATTGTGATTGTCCAGAGTCTCTAATGCCTCACTTGTTTTTTCTGCATTATTTTTTATTTTTTTAAGCTCCTCCTGATTTTTGCTTGCAGTGTCCTGTAATTCTTCAAGTTTGTCTTTCACCCAATAAAAATATTCTGTCATTGTTCTTTTAAATTCTATGCCAGAAAGTTTCATCGGACTTTCCGTCTTCAGAAACTCCATGGATACTGTGTCACTTTTTTTAGGTGACATCTTGCTCTGGGCTTGTGTAGGTTATAAGGTAGCCTTCTTCTTACTTGACATTGCTGTTGTAGAGTTTTTCATGCCTGAGGCAATGATAGGTTCTTGACCCGAAGTCAATGCTCCAGAAGAGGATGGAGCAGTTACCCTCCAAGTTTCAGTTTAGGGCCTCTCAAAGCAGCATTTTCTGTTTAAAACTGTTGCAGTCCAAGTCTTTCCAGACTAAAGGCAGTTAGCTCACTGGATGTGAGGAGATGTGAGGCAGAGCATAGAGGTGGGCTGAGCATAGAAGTGGGCGGAGCATAGTGATGGGTGCAAGCACCAGGTACCCATTCATGTTGGAGGTTTCTGGCACGCTCACAGAAGCATACCAGGTGGGTGTGTGAGCGGTCTCTCGCCAATTGAGCACATGTTGGACCTTGCTCAAATTCCAGGTCTCAGGCCTGTGTCCCAGCTTCGCTGTAACCTGGCTTCACTGCATCCCAGCTTCACTGTGTCCCCTGCTTTGTTTTTAGAACACTGTTAACTTTCAGAAAGGCATCATCAGACCCATCTTCCATGGCAGGGTCATGTAGGTACAAACCACCAAGTTTTTGGTTAGGCTTTTGTGCTATTGAGAGTTGGCCTTTGACACTTTTACTTTACTTTGGGTCATATTCCAGGTACGTTTTGTACACTTTTAATTGTTTTTTTTTGTTGTTGTTGTTGTTTCAAATCACTAAACATCAAGAGAAAATGATAAATGAAACCAGTATCATAGCAGATCATGATTATTTTTACCTTTGCATTATGTCCTTGATCATTTCAGGTGGTGTCTATAAAAGCATCAAGCACACTCACCTCAAATATAAGCACTAAACGCACACGAGGCTTAAATATTAGTGAGTTGGGTAGCAGATTATACTTTTCACTCCTTCACAACATGCAATATCTTGACTTATATAGAGAGCATAATAGAGACCATAGGCCATGAATTCTTTAAGCGTGCACTCTTTTTCTCTTAAGGCACTTCCCATGAATTGGTCAGACACTTCTAGCTTTCATTTTAATGAATTAAAGAATATATACTCAAGCAAACTCACAATCTAGGACATGATTCAATACAACCAAATCTAGGTGACATTCAACAGCTTTTTTGTGAGGCTTATCGACTAACGTATATTCCCCAGTATTATGAGAAACAGCTGAACTTACGTCTTTGGGTGAAAATCCTATTCCACATTCCACTGATGTATTTCCCTCTACTTCTATAAAATATATGTAAGGGGATTCAGGATATGTATATTCCACTGTAAAATAAAAAATATACAATAATTAAAAGAAACAAATTCAAAATAATTAAAGTAATTATTACTGAGTATTTCTGCAGCATTGTAAAAGTTTACTCATTCAAGAATAACTCTTAATAGTAAGACATTAGCCAGTAAACCTGCTATCCTAACATGTAGCCTATCAGCCAAACTAGAAAGGTAGAACAATTAACAAAAGTCCCAGAAGTTTTAGTTGTTGTTGTTGTTAGGTGTCATTGAGTCAAGTACAACTCATAGAGACCCTGTGAACAAAAGATTTGAACCTAATCCTGTCCTGCACCATTCTCATACTTCCTGACACAGAAGAGCCCCTTTCAGTAGTCCCTGTGTCAGTCAACCTGGTTGAGGGTCTTCCTCTCCTTCACCAATCCTTCAAGCTTCCCAACATAATGTCCCTCTCCAAGGAATAGCCCTTCCTATCAATATGTGCAAAGTATGTGAGGTAAATCCTCATCATTCTTGCCTCCAAAGAGCGCTCCAGCTGCACCCTCTCCAAGACATTTATTTGTTCATTCTTATTTCTGTCCATGTTCAGTGCTCTTCTCCAACACCACAACTCAAAGGCATCAATTCTTTTTCTGTCATCCTTATTCATTGTCTAGCTCTCAGATGCATAGCTAGTAATCAGAAAAGCTATGATCTGAATCAGGTGCACCTTAGTCTTCAAACTGACATCACTACTCCTCAGTAATTTTAAAGGTCCTTAACTGCAGATTTCCCCAGTGAAATGAATCTCTGTATTTCCTGACTGTTCATACCAAGGGTGTTAATTGTGGATCCAAGCAGGATGAAGCTGTTGATATTTTCAATCTCCTCTCCATCCATCATGACACAGCCTATTTGTTCAGTGGTAAGACTCTTTGTTTTCTTGATATTGTTATTCAATACATACTGAAAGCTGCAGTCCTTGATCTTCTGCAACAAGTGCTTCAAGTCCTCACTTTCAGCAAACACAGTTGTTTCACCTGCATAGCAGGTTATTGATGAATCTTTCTGCAATCCTGATGCCACATTCCTCTTCATAGAGTCCAGCTTCTAAGAAAATTTGCTCAGCATATAGATCGAGCAGGTATAGAGATAGACTACATCCCTGACACACTCTCTTCCCAATTCCAAACACAGAAGTTGGAAAATATGGGCTTGGTGATAGAAATGAAGCTGGAAATAGAATAATTGAATTTTGTATTTACAGTGACTGAGATATTTCACTCAGCATAATGTCCTCCAGGGTTACTCATGTGTTATGTTTTACTAGTTCACTGCTTTTAAGTGTTGCATAATATTCCATTGTATGAATGTACCACAGTGCTTATATCTATTCATTTGTTGATGGGCACTTGGATTTGTTCAATCTCTGCTATTGTGAACAATGTGGCAATAAGCATGGGTGTACATATATCTGTTTGGATAATTGTTCTGGTTTCTTTAGGGTATATATATATATTCCCAGTAGTGGCATTGCTGGGTCCAATGCTATTTCCATTTCCAACTTTTTGAGAAAGCACCAAGCCACCTTCCATAGTGCTTGCACCGTTTTATATTCCCACTAGCAGGGAATAAGGATTCCAGTCTCTCCACACTTCACCAGCATTTATTATTCGCTGCTCTGTCGAAATTTGCTATTCTTGCAGGGGTGAGATGATATCTCATAATTGTTTTTATTTGCACCTCTCTGAGCTAGAGGTTGTGGATATGTTTCCCATTTGAATGTCTTCTTTGGTAAAGTGTCTATTCTTATCCTGTGCCCATTTTGCAATTGAGTTGTTTACCTTTCTTTTGTTGAGGTGCTGGAGTATTCTATAAACTCTAGATATAAGTCTCTTACCAGATATGTCATTACAAAATATTTTTCCCCTTCAGATTTCCTTTTTACCCTCTTGTAGAAGTTTTTTTATGTGCATAGGGATTTGATTCTTAAAAGGTCCCATTCATCTATTTTGTTCTCTCCTGGTTCTAGGTCTTTTCATTATGCGTGGAAGACTGTTCATATTGTGGATTAGGGCTTCTAGAGTTCTTTCAAGGTTTTCTCTGATAAAATTTACGGTCTTTGATCCACCTTGAATTGTTTGTTGTTGTTTTTTTTTGTATAGTGTTTTCTACAGATGTTTTCTAATCTTGCCAGCAACCTTTGCTAAAAAGGCTGTTGTTTCCCCACTTAACTAAATCATCTCCTTGTAAAAAATCAGTTGACCATAGGTAGAGGTGCTGATTTCTGGGTTCTTAATTCTATTCCATTGATCTATGTTTCTGTCACTATACTGGTACCACACCGTCTTGACTACTATGGCTGTGTAGTAGGATTTGAGATGAGAGAGTGAGATACCTCCTTCCTACCTTATTTCTCTTTTTTCAGGAGTGAATGTGGGGTCTCTTTCCATTCCAGATGAAATTAGAAATTGTCTTTTCCATCCATTTGAACAATGGAACTGGTATTTGTATTGGGATTGGGATTGCATTGAACATGTAGATTGCCCTTGATAGAACTGTAATTTTCACAATATTTAGTCTTCCTATCCAAGAGCATGGTATATTTTTCCATTTCTCCAGATCTCTTTTTGTTTCCTGTAGTAATGTTCTGTAATTTTCTTTGTATAGGCCTTTTGTATCTTTAGTTAGATTTACTTCCAAATATTTAATCTTGTTATTAGTTCTTGTTATGGGTATTGGTTTTCCTTTGTTCCTTTCTGTATTATCTTTGTCACTGTAGGGAAATGCAACTGATTTTTGTATGTTGATCTTGTATCTTGTCACTTTGTTGAATTGGTCCATTATATCCAGTAGTTTTCTCACTGAATCTTTATTGTTTTCAAAGTATACTATCACCATCTGCATATGTAGAGCTAGTTTTATCTCCTCCTTGTCAATTGGGTTACCTCTTGTTTCCTTCTCTTGCCTTACTGTTCTTGCTAAGACTTTCAATATTACTCCTATTTTCTAGTATCTACATCTCCTCAGTCACCAAGTTATAACTTTTCTATTTTTTCTGTATTTTGCTCTTTTTCTCTCATCCATCCTGAATACTATTGTCTCAATCTTAGTTCTTATCACTTCCCATGTTTATGGCCAAAACTTATGATTGGTCTCTCTAATTCTCATCTTTCCTTCTCCATTCCTGCCTTTTCCTCCACCTTTTCTAATTCTATACAGTGGTAAAAAAAAGGAAAGTTACTAAAGCTTAGTATACTTCAGTCTTCACATGGATCTAAATTATTTAATGGGGCTTGAAGTACTTAATTTAGGAAGATAAAAAAAATTGCAGTCTTCAACATTGATTGTACCTCAACATCAAGAACAAAAACCATCACCACTGGACCAATACACAATCAATCATGAGAGATGGTGCAATATCTAAATTCAAGGATTCCATTTTACTTAGTTGCATACGCAACATACATCCAAGTAGCAGTCAAGAAATCAAGACATGTTGCATTGGGCTAATCTTCTGTCAAGGGTCGAGGATGTCTCTTTAAAGACCAAGGTGTATTTTCCATTGCTCTTTATGCATCTGAAAATTGGACAATGAATAAAGTAGACTAAAGAAGAATCTATGCCTTTGAACTATGTTGTTGGGAAAGAGTACTGAGTATCTCATGGACTGTCAAACAGACAAGCCAATCTGACTTGGGGAAAAAACAACCAAGATACTTCTTAGGAGCAAATAGGGTAACATTTCATCTTGTAGACTTAGGGCATGTTGTTCTTGAAAAAAATAACTTACTGGAAAAAGGTCAAGGGGTCAGCCAAAGAGAGGAGATCTTCAAAGGGATGGATTGACACAGTGAGTGTGACAATGGAATCAAGCCTATTGGAGATGTTGAGAATGGCACAGGATAAGACAAAGTTCTGCTTTGTTGTTCACAGAGTCACTATGAGTCATAGTTGACTCAATGGCCCCTAACAACAACAATGGGACTGCCTAACCTGTAGGCACAAAAGTCTAATGGTGATCTGAGATCACTCCCACTCCTGTTCTTCTAATCTATGAATATCTTGAAATACTTAGGATATTGACTTGTTCTAGGACAGTGCCTTTTTAAATAGCATCTCTCATATGAAAATAACATGAATCTTTGTCAATATTCCCTTCTGTATTGGGTGGTTTCCATTTTCCATCCAGATTTGCTAGCTATACTTCTCTCCTCTACTCTTTCCTTATCTCTCCCTACATCCTTTGGTTAAGTACAACCATGAGGATGCACCAGAAAGTTATCAGAGGGTGTGCAATGATAAAAATATGAGAAAATGATCTGGCTGCAATTCTAACAGTGGTTTCACGCCTTTTTACCTGTAGCTTTTTTTTTCCTTTTTTTATTATTATTAAATTTTATTAGTTTCAATGAACATTCACAGGGATTCTGGGCTTTCACTCCTTCATTGCTGCACCATTCTCTCCACCATCCTCCCCAGTTTGTTCTTCTTCCCTGCCATCCGAATGTCTGTTTTAATTGTCCAATTGCCACAGTGCTTGTCAAAGTCAGTTCTGATTAATCTCCTTTGCCATTCCCTATCACTCCTCCCTGAGAGAGACTTCACCCTGATTCATAAGGAAAAGGGGATGGCGTATTCTCTTAGCTACTTCCTGCTGAAAAGGGACGCTGTGGGTTTCAGGGTGAAGATCTTCTCTCACTACTCTAAAGGGCCCCTTTGGCAGTAGGAAACACATAGACTATTATGGAGATTGATTTTGGAATTTAGATGCACTCTTATTGATTGTGCTTGGCCGTACATGTTCATATCCTTGAAGATGTATCATGGGGGTGTTCCAACCTAGAAGACACAAATTTGACTAACAAGTATAAGTACATGAGTCAAAAATTATGGACACGTAAAAGAAAGGATTCTTTCATTGTTGTACAAACCTTCCCCCAGGTCCCCTCCACCATGTAGCCCTCGCTCTAGACTCCTGTGATTACAGAAGTACCTAGTCATATATCTCTTTAAACCTGTAGCTTTTAAAATGTGCTCTATGCTTAATAGAT